TGTCTAATAACTACTAACAGTTTTACAAGTTGCCGGCCAGTTACTTTAAAGCTGGCTGCTATAAGGAGACATTGGAGTTGTAATTTATGTTGGGTTTCCTCTTTAGATAAGGGACTTCCCATATTTTAAAAGTGAAAGAAAGAGAAAAAAAACCTTTGGGCTGAAAAGACCTAACTTGACCTGCTGCAGACGTGATTAACAATATGAGTGAGATACCCCCAAATTCACAGAGAAATAATTGTGAAGTGTGTGCAGACTGTCACTCTGTGGCAGTTGGATTTTTAAGATTTCTTGGTGTCTCTTCAGCAAGTGAAATTTCTGGTCCCCACTGCACTACATAACATGCCTAGCACTCCTGGTTTGAGTTTACAGAAGTTTATACAAGACCTAGCTTCCAGGATCAGTGACTAGGAGGGAGGTTGGGTTACTGGATGAGTGTCTGGTTTTCTTTTGAGTAAAGTAGGTGTTGCAAAGTTTGAAGGAGGGTGTCCATAAATAGGAATCCCAACTGAAAGAACACCCCTTTGGCCTGGTCCCTCTCAGTTGTGCTTTGCGGCAGAGACAAGAGTCCAAGAATACTAACAGTCCTAGCTTTGCACACCCCCGGCAGTTATTGATCCTAGTGCCTAGAGTGCAAAAAGGTTGGTTAATTTAATGAGGTATTCATTCAATAGCTATCAGAGAATGGGTGGTATCGGAAGGTTTGGATCAATTTTCAGAAAGGTGAGTTAACTGAGAAGAATAGGCAATGGCCTCAGAAAAGTTACTATTTGGAGGGGGCTTGAAGGTGTGGTCTGGGGTGGATGGAGAACCTGTTGTACCTGGAGATGTGTCTGCAGTGCTCTCTGAACACACTCCCATTCCTACAATCTCCCCTCATTGTTTCCAGTGTCTGAGCTCTCTCAAACCTAGCTGATGATGAAATTTGGCATCTAGAGAAATGCTGATGGTCCTGCTATCCTGATAGTTTTTCCTGGTAGTTCAGGAAGGGTTTGCCAATGTATTTCTATCTTTTAAGAAAGATGAAAAAAATTGAATTTGAGGGGATGTGAATTGCCCCGGGTCACATGATTTGTAGATGTTAGACATTCAGACTTTTTGGCTAGTGTTCTCCATTTTGCCGCACTTAGGTCAAAACAAATGTTTGTTCACTTTTGAGATTATTTTTGTGATGCTGAAGTCAA